TAGTTCAGCCCAGGATCCATAGCGGCACGAGGAAGGGCGTTCTCTGCCTGAAGACAGATAACATTGGTTTGTTATGGAGACGTTATATGGTCAGGAAAAGTTAGAAGCCTATTGCGAGGAGGGAAGGAAAGGACGACGACAGAAGTGAAAGAGAGGAGAGGAGAGGAGAGGAGAGGGCAAAGCAGGGCAAAGCAGGGCAAAGCAGGGCAAAGCAGGGCAGGGCAAAGCAGGGCAGGGCAGGGCAGGGCAGGGCAAGTTTAGAATCTTACTTGGCTTTTCTTTCTTTCTTTCTTTCTTTCTTTCTTTCGTTTTGTGTGTGTGTGTGTGTGTGTGTTTGTTACCATTTATTAAGATATTGGGCTCACTTAATCTCCGAGTACCCAAAAGGGCCTTGAGTAGAGATACCGGAACTTGACTTCGTACCTGAGTTAAATACTTTGGACATTCATCCAACTTCCCAGCCCTTCGTAACAGATCGATAAGCCTAGCTAGTGCTGTGTAGTGACCTGAAATCCAAAACACCATTTATTGTCATTCATTCATTCTATTTACTCTCCCATCCCACAACTTTGAGTATTCTGATTCCTAACATTCTTATTAGTCGCAGGAACTTTTCATTTGTTCAAGTCGCCTTAAAAAAACATATTAGGGACTTCAAGATTTGCAAAATCTACGACGGCGACATCAACCGGAAGTGTAAATAATTTCTCTTTGGGGTTCTGTTCATTGGAGATTTCATTCAAAACATTGTCAGTGAAGTTAACTCGTCCACAGGGAAGACAGACTTTGAAGGCGCGAAACCCCAAAGCGAAGTTATTTCCACTTCCGGTTGACGTCACCGTCGCAGATTTTTCAAATCTCAAAGTCCCTTTTATCGCTAAACACCACCGCGAGCAGGGTTGCAGCTCAAAGGGGTCGAACTGAAACCATGTGAAGGCCCCTCTGGCAGCCAATATACATTCCACGTATGTATGACAAAAACAACCTTACCTGGTTTTCTCTCCAACAGCTGTTGAAAATGAAACGTAGCTGAAGCGTATTCATTCTTCCTGAACATGAGGTCCGCCATCATCTGAGTGAAATCACAACACACAAAGCCGCGATTAAAAGAGTAGATTGTTTAACTGACTCACGGATGTTTAAACTCAAACACCTCCGGTATTGTCAAGTAATTGGCAAAAAGTCAATCGGTTGGCTCATGCCCCGTCTACACTATGCCGGATAAATTTGAATCCGCAACTTTATTTATCTGGTTATGCCTTCCGAACTTTTTGAATCCGGTCTCCAGAGTGGAACAATTTGAAAACGCCGGTTAGTCGTATTAGTTTGGACGGAGAACATTTCGTATCCGGAACTTTTCGAATACGATGAGGTCATGAATGTCATGGGAACTTGGCGGGAAGCCTTTGATCGGACTAGTGTGGACGCGAAACATTTTCTCCGTTTTCATGTGTAGACGGAAAACGTTTTTTTCGGTTTCGGTGTGAAAGTTGCGGATTCAAATTTATCCGGCATAGTGTGGACGGGGCCTCGGTTGAGCGTCGTTCTGTTATGCGGGATGTCGTGGGTCCAGGCCTTGGCGGCCGGACCAACACTCAGGGTCTTAAAATAACTGAGGAGAAGGTGCTGCCTTAAATAATATCTACTATTGGATAGACTTTTAAGAAGGTC